TTTTTTTTTTTTTTATTTGTTTGCGCACAATTGCTTTTTTTTTTTTTTTTATCGCGCCTATTAACCACAACGTTACAGCCGTACATTACATTCCTAGCTGAATTATGTTTCATAATCCTGCCTTGGCGCCCTAAAACATTGAGGGATAAAAACAACATATTGCTAATTTCGGCTATCGCACCATCTCAACTTACTGCGCACCACGCTTGGGTAAACATGACTTCACGTGATGTTTCTATCTATCATAGGTTTATCTCTGAGTTACACGGTCCTCCAACAATGGTGTCTTGGTCATAAGTAATTCGAGGATTCTTTGACCTGGATCATGGTTACCCGCTGAACACAGAAAAAGGGAACGAAAAAAAAAGGGGTGGGGGGGGCAACTGGGGTAGGGGCAGTCCTGAAATATCTAAATCTCCTTCACTTGTATGATTTTCTGTCTTGGTGAATGTGGGGAAGCACTCAATAATTTACTTGATTTTTAGGACAAAATAAGATCTCTTTATTATTGCATAAGTAAAAACTGTTGTTGTTTTGTTGTTATTTTGTTGTTTTTTTATTAAATTAAATGGTACTTTGACATAATGATTCAAGATACTGCTTCAAGATGCTGCTTCAAGGTACTGCGTCAAGATGCTACTTCGAAGTTCTGATTCAAGATGCTACTCCGACTTACTGCTTCAAGATGCTGCTTCAAGATGCCGTTTTGAGATGCTGCTTTGTGATGCTGGTTCGAGAAGCTGCTTTAAAAGTATGCTTCGAGATGCTGCTTCAAGATGCTGCTTCGACATGGGGCTTCAATATGCTGCTTTGAGATGCTCATTTTTGTGTTCACTTCTTTTTTTCCTTTGTTCCTTATATGACATATAAGACTGAAATTATTTCTCACCCAAACCTGAAATGTATGGACATATCTGTAGTGTTTGCTTTTTATGTACAGATTCGTAATCAGCTTGTCGGTGAACAAAGAAGGGAGACATTTGCTGGTCAGAGTTTATCTTGGAGAGCGCTTACATTATGGTAACCCTCGAGGTTATTTCTCCTCTAAATACTAACTTCTAAAAGTGTGCACCCCCCCCCCAAACACGCACACAGAAAACATTATTATGTATATAATAGTATATAGTATATAGAAACCCCTTTCGACATCCCAGGTACGCCACAGTTAAAAGTTACAACTGCGATTACTCAACGAAAATCTCATCGTTTTTAATTTTAATTTAAATGGATTTCCTATAAAATGACGAGCTTCCTCTAAGTCAAAAGGGGGGGGGGGGGGGGGAATGATTATTAATTTTAGCAAAAATGTTTAGAACCACTGGGATAAAGTTTTGTTGTTTTTTTATGTCCATAACTTCAATATCCTGTTACGTGTTCAGTGCGCGCACAGCTCTCCTCAGTTAGTTCAAAACTTGTATCCGCAAAAAGCAAGAAGTAGGGAACAAATATTTCATTCCGTTTCCGAAGTTATTTATTTGTACGCGTTTAT